GGTGGGATAGCAGATGAGGGGGCCCCCTTCAGGGGTGAAAATAGTAAAACAAATCGTCCCCTGACTATTTTTTGATTATTTTTGAATGCTCCTCTTGTAGAGGGACAGGCCCTACTTAAGCCTGGACACCCGACGTCCGGTACAGGGAGACAATTAGTAAACACCCCCCCTGCCACCCAAACTCAGAGTTGGCACGCGCGGGGGAGACCGCGATCGAGGTGCAACTCAGCAGACCCACCGCCAACCTTGAACATCGGGGGGAGGGGGAGGCGTTGCCAGATGAATGTGGCATGAGTGTTCGCTGCTTTTTCCCGAGGCCTGTCACGACCTGTTCGCGAGGTGGCCCCCCGGACCTCTCCGTGGTTCGCCTTAACAGCGCCCTGGGCGTTGTTTCTAGCGTGTTCTACTTCGGGCTCGTGACAGGCTGAAGACGCTATAACAAAACGTTAGGTTTCTGCTGGGGTCTTCAGGGCTGTTTCTTTTGGTGCTTGGTTTTGCGTTTTGGTTTGCCGATCTCGGGGAAGGGGTTGAGAGGTCACCCCTGCTTCTTAGGAGGGGTGACCCCTCAACCCCTTCCCCGAGATCGGCCCCTCGTCCCGGGCGTCTGCCGCGTGGGCGGCCTGCCTCCGGATGCCCAGGAGGCCTGGGGCAGCCGTCGCGATGCCCGTGCGCGACGCCCGGGGAGGAAGCATGCGGTTGGGGGGAGGGTCGAGAGACAACAAAGATCATGAACGAAAACTTTCGGAAGTCCGCACTGAGTTCTTGCATCGACATTGGACCCCCGCCTCTGGCGCGCCAGGGGCGGCGCCGCCAAGAAGCTCCAGCGCCGATCCTAGAAACCCGCGCGGACCTCCGAATGCGTTTCGTGTTTGTGTGACTGTTAGTTTCCCGAATATGGAGTACGGGACAGGGGCGAGGGTGTCGGATGAGGGGGGAGGGGGGGCCAGACCCCCCGCGGTATGTTTTGTTTTTCTTTTAAGTTTATGTTTTGTTATTTGTTTTTCATGTTCAAAGGTCCTGACCCCTTTCCCGGGACCAGTTGTTATTCCTAATATATTTTTGACGGCCCTGGGGCCTGGTAGGGGTCCACAGAGGCCGAACATAGCGAAGAACCGCACGTCGTGTTTTGTTTTCCATGACTCGGGGGAGTCTGGGATCACAGGGGAGGGGCAAGGACCAGACGGAGACCAGCTCGGTCGGCGACTCCGCAGGGTGTGATTTTTGCAAAGGGTGTGGTCTGCAACGCGCACCCCGCGGGGCGGGCGAGGACCTCGACAGAGTTCTCCGCCGCGGCCCCGAGGAGGCTCGACGAGGGCAGCGTGGTGCCCCCCAAGCCCCAACCCAGACCCCCGACGCCATCTTTTTAAACAGCGTCGAGCCCTCAAGGCCTCGACCAGTGGATATGGACCCGCCTTCCATCCTGCATCGTTCTTTGACGGTCCCGAGGCCCGGCGAAGCTCCCCAGAGGCCGGAGATGGCAAAACACCTCCCGCATGGCCCGAGGAGGGCTCGAAACGACGCAGACCACAAGCCACACCCCGACGTAATTCACCACACCCTCTGTAGCCGCCGACGACGCGGACCCCGACGGCGACACCGACGACGACGGCACCGATGACGACGACGACGACAACGACGACGGCGACGACGACGACGGCGACGCCGACGGGCCTGGCCCCGCGCAGGCGCTCAGGCGCCCTGCGCGGCGAAGACGGCCCCGGGCAGCGGCCCCTCGCCCGAAGGCGACCCCGCCCCGACGGCCGCGCCCCCTCCCGGCTCGACCACCAGCCTTTGGGCAAGGACGGCGACGGCGACGGCAACGACGACGACGTCGACGACGCCGACGCCGACGACGGCGGCGACCACGACGACGACGACGACGACGACGTCGACGACGACGTCGACGACGGCAGCGGCGAGGACGGCGGCAGCGACGACGGCGGCAGCGACGACGACGACGTCGGCAGCGATGGCGCCGTCGACGACGCCCACGCCGACGACAGCGGCGACGCCGACGGCGGCAGCGACGACGGCGGCGACGACGACGACAACGGCGACACCCCAGCGGGCCCCCTCCTGGCTCGACCACCAGCCCCAGGGGGGCGATAGCCCAGACCCCCTCGAGTCATGCGAAAATCACGACGGAAGGCTTTTCTGTATTTTCGGCCTCTCGGGGCCCTGACAAGTGCCTCGGGACTGACAGTCAACGACTCAGGACGAAAACCCGGCCCCAGAGAATGGGCCGAGACCTTTGAGGATTGACGTTATGAACAACAAAATATGACGTCGGTGGTCTGGGGAATGGGGGGCGAAGACACCTGCACCTTTCGCGCTCATTTTGGGCCCTGGAGGGCCTCTTTAGGGCCCCTACGGTGCACGAGAGTAGACGAACAAAAACCGGTATAAACATAAACTGTTGCAGCTCGGAGCGGACTTTTTGGATTGGCGCTGGCCCACCCTGGCGGCGCCTCTTGCGCCGCCCCTGGCGCGCTCCGCGCGCCAGGGAGGGAGGTTCAGCGCCGACACAAAAACTCCGCGCGGAGCTCCAACAGCTTATGCCTATGCCCGTTCTTGTTTTTTTTCTCGTGAGACGTGCACCTTTCTTCACCCCCTCGTTTACCGCCGCCCCACCCCCTGCGCAACGCACGACAGCCTGTACGAAGGCCGCTTGCCGGTGGCGCCGCGTTGGCGCCGCACGTGCGCCTTGGTGCGCGGCGTGGGCGCCAGCGCGGCGGGCCCGCACTTGCTCTCGAGGTTGGCCTTGGCCGCGGGGCCGCCGCTGCCGGCGCGCTCCTCCATAGAGGAACCACACACACGAAAAGAAGCATGTCGCCGCGCCGTTTGTTCTGACGCGCGCGGCCTTCCGTTTTGGGGAGGGCACCTTGGCCACCAGGGCCAGACTCCGCCTCGGACGCCAAGCTTGCAGTGAGGTCTGCCGCGGTGCCAGCCTCGTCCACTGTGGGCGCGCTCCGAACAAGCAGCGCGGCGTCACATAGATTGTTGGAGGTCCGCGCAGGTCTCTTGGGTCCGCGCGCTGGACCCCCCCCCTCTCTGCCGCGCGGAGCGCGCCAGGGGCGGCGATGGAGGTGCCGCCCAGGGGAGCCCGGCGCCGATCCGAGGAACCCGCGCGGAGCTTCGACAATTTGTGCTCCTGTAGCGTTTCCTTCTGCGACTCCAGTCGGCTAGACGTAAGAGTGACCCTGGGCGAGAGTGACCTTTGGTGCGCAGCTTTTGGGGGCGCGAGGGAGCCAAACCCAAGGGCACGGGCCGCTTATATCGCATCGCGCTCGGCGATGGGGGGAGCCCGATGAGCCCGCAGCAAAGGTCACTCCGGCGAAGGGTCACTCTTACGTGTGGCCGACTCAGCCCTGGCGCCTCAAGGTCAGCGCCCTCCTCCCCGGCCTTGCCCCCCGCCTGGGCGTGCGCGGCCTCCGCGACCTCGGCCCAGCCCTGGGGAGCCAGTACAGAGCCGCGGATGCCGCTGCTCCACGGGAGCTCTCCGAGCATCCTGCCCAGAATCTCGACAAGAATCCAGCCGTCGCGACGAGGGAAGGGTATTGTTAGGTCGGGCATGTCCTCCCACAGGCGGATTTTGCAAGACACATAAAATGTAGTCAAACAAATACTCAAACATAGTCAGACGAGTACGGCAAATCGTCACCAGACCATTCTTTCCACTCTTGAATATTCCTCCTGTAGGTGGACATGCCCGACTTAAGGGTAGTGGTATCGGTATCTTTCCCTCCTCTGAGGTCCACGCCGAGCCAGAGGTAGAGCAGCAGGCTGCACACCATCACGAGCATGCCGAGCACCAGCCCAGACCAGAGCCCTATGATGCCCCAGCCCTGGCCGGGCAGCCCGAAGGCGAGCACGAGCCCGAAGGGGATGCCGATCACGTAGAATGCTACGAAATTGATTGCGGCGGGCAGCCTCACGACGCTCATGGCGCGGAGGATCGAGACCAGCGCCCCCGGCCCGAGGCTGTCGAGGAAGATGTAGGCGGCAATGGTCAGAAGAAGGGATAAGCATGCAGAAACAGAAACTTTCGGAGGTCCGCACGGATTTCTCGGATGGGCGTTGGCCCCCATGGCGGCGCCTCCGGCGCCGCCCCTGGCGCGCTCTGCGCGCCCGGGAGGGGTGTCCAGCGCCGATCCAAGAGACCCGCGCCGACCTCCGAAACCTTCTGCGTATGCCGCTTCTCTTCTCCGCATGGTGGGCATGGCCCTCGCCGTGAGGGCCGCGATCTCCGCGTCGTCGCTGAAGAGCTCGCCCCAGCTCTCCCGCACGGCGACGAGGGCTGCCGCGAGGGAGCCCGAGATTGCCGCCGAGAGGCACAGGGCGCAGCGGCTCAGGCGCCTGGCGGTGGCGGGGTCGTTGGCGCCCAGGGCGTTCCCGATCAGCGCCCCCGCGGTCACGTTCAGACCGAACGCGGGCATGAAGCCCAGGACCATGGTCAGAGAAACAAGGGAGGGCATGAGCACAGATGTTCGGCGCTCCGCACGGATTTCTTGGATCTGAGCTGGGCCCCCTTCCTGGCGCGCAGAGCGCGCCAAGGGTGGCGCCGCAGGCGCCGCCAGGGGGCCCAGCGCAGATCCAAACAATCCGCGCGGAGCGCCGAAAATTTATGTTTATGCCGTTTTTGATTCTTCGAATGGTGTTCGCCAGCACGGGGAACGCGTCGAGCTGCGTGCAGCCTCGGCTGCACGCAAAGAGTGACCCTGGCGGAAAGGCGTGGCCCTCTTTGTGCGCGGCGAGTGCCGATCGCTGCGTGCGGTGCGATGGGAGCGGTCTGCGCGCTTTTGGACCTTGGGCCCCGCGCCGTCCCTGAAAGCGGCGCGCTACAGGCCTCCCGGGTGAAGCTAGACTTGTGGATGCCACGGCCATGGACACCCTAGTCCTATCATTGAACTTAGGATGTGTTAAAAATGTAGGAACATGTTATGAACCTGCTTTCAGCATGTTTGTTTACATGCTTACAACATTAAAACATGTTTTGAACATGCTTCACACATGCTTAGACATCTGGAAATTATTTGGCAACATGCTTCCTCTCCAGTGATCGTCCTCCACGACGCCACAGGTCACCCGGGCGAAGCTCGACTCTTTTTTATAGCCAGGCAGCCGTGCTCGCCGCCCCCGTTGCCCCGCGGGTCGCACAGGAGTCCCGCGAAGAAGAGGTTCGTCTCCCAGCCTTCGGGGGGCATCGGAGCGGAAAGCGGTGGCGGACCGTGCGCTGACCCCGGACTCCCCCAGGACCGCACCGCACGGTTGTGGATGCCACGACAGTGGACACCCTGACAGCCCTATCCTTGAATGTACACTGTGTTTAAAGTGTCGGACAACTGTTCTAAACATGTTTCAACCATGTTGTTTTGCATGTTTAAGACATGTGTACCAAATGTTTTAGACATCTGGGAATTATTTGGCAACATGCTTCCTCTCCATTGATCGTCCTCCACAACCGTACGGTCCGTCACCGTATCGCTCCGGGACCTCGGAATCCCCAGTCGCCCGAGACGTCCTCGGAGCACGGCCCACGTCCCAGAAGCGTGCGGCCACCACGCATCCCCACGGAGCAACCGCTCGTTGCAGTCACCGCACCGTTTGGGGACCCCCGAGGCAACCCCACCACTCGCACAACATGAGGACGCCCCCCGGCAGGGCGAGAGCCAGCATCTCGCCCCAGCCCGACAGCGCTTCCCGCACCGACCACTGCGGCCACGTGTCCCCGTCCGCCAGAGCGCAGCGGGCGAACAGCCACAGCACCACGGCCTGGGCCACGTTGGCCACGGTGTACGCCAGCGGCGCTCCCACGAAGCCCATGCGCGGTATCAGCGCGGCAAACGCCGCCATGTTGAGGACCCCAGCCGCGACGCTCAACAGCATCGGGAACATCGTCACCCGCTGGGCCACCAGGTAGTTGGACAAATCCTCCCTGACTGCGAGGGCCGGCAGCGCGGCCACGCGCCACTGCACAAACTGCCCCGCGAGCTGCGCGATGCCCGGCGGCTGCTTCAGCGCCAGCAGGATCCGCTCCGTGCTGAGCCAGACGAGGGCGATGCAGCCGCACAGGGCCGCGTGCATCGCGAGCTGCCGCTGGAGAAGGTCGCCGCACCGCCGCAGACTGCCCGCCCCGAAGGCCTGGCTGATCAGCGGCTGGGCGCCGGCTCCAGAGCCCACGATCAGGGAGAAGCCGGCCACGTTGGTGAACATGAAGCCCATGCCCGCGGCCGCCGTGTGGTCCGGGTCGGCGCCGAGAAAAAACAGCATGCCCAGGCCCGGCAGGAAGGTGATGATCAGGTTGACAGACTGGGGCCAACCTAGGGGAACCAGCAGGCACCGATGCTGCTACTCCCTGGACCTCTCCTGCGGTGCGCTCTGACCAGAATTTCGAGGCGAATCCAGCGGTGGCAACGAGGGCCACCCAGGAGGCCCAAGAAGGGGAAAAGGGGCGAAAGGTAGCGGTACCCAGAGATCCGACGTCGTGATTTTTTCTATACGGGGTCCCCGAAAGCCCCGACCCTTTCCCCAGGGCCGCTCTTTCATCCTGAGCAATTCCTTTTACTCCCGGGGCCCGGCGAGGGCCTCCAGACGCCGAACACCGCGAAAAACCTCCGCCTCGCTTCTTGCTTTCAGTGCCTGGAGCTCTGGGTATATGGGTATACCTGTTCCTCCTCCGGCAGCCGAGGCGCAGGATTCTGCGAACGTCGCTCCTCCAGGAGCCCCCGGGCCCAGCCCCGCCCCCCGGGGCGCCCATGAGGCCCCCCCGGCGCGCGCCCCCGGCCTGCAGAATGCGGTCGCGCGGGCGGCGCCCCTCTCCTGGGGGTATGGGGGGAAAAAAAGGGGGCTGCGCCAGAGCAGAGGCCTGGAGGGGGAGGAGGAGGAGGAGGAGGAGGAGGAGGAGGAGGAGGAGGAGGAGGAGGAGGAGGAGGAGGAGGAGGAGGAGGAGGAGGAGGAGGAAGAGGAGGGGCCCAGATGGGCTCGCGGAGCATGGCGGGGGATGCCGCCTCGCATGCGTCGGCGACACATCGCCGATGCATCGGCGATGCTTCGGCATATGCATCGGCGATGCCTCGGCGACGCCAGCGTGGGGAACGTCGGGGCTCCACGCCGAGCCGCACCGCCGAAGCATCGACGGCACGGCTCGATCACCCGACCCCATCTGCTCGGACCCCCTCTGGGATAGGGGAACAAAAAGTGACATAAACATAAAGACTCGGAGGTCCGCGCGGATTTCTCGGATCGGCGCTGGACCCCCTCCCTGGCGCGCGGAGCGCGCCAGCGGCGGCGCCGGAGGCGCCGCCAGGGGGCCCCAGCGCCGATCCGAGAAATCCGCGCGGACCTCCGAGTTTTTCTGTTTATGCCACTTTTTGTTCCCCTATGCGGGAGAGGGGGTGCGGGGGCCCAGGGATCCAGCGCATTGACAGACCTCGGCACGGAGGTCTCTCGCTGCCCTCGGAGGCTGGAGGCCCTCGCAGGGGGCCCCGGACCAAGAGCAAACGGCTCGGGAGGAGACACCGGCCCTGGGGAAGAAAACAGGTCGGGGCTGCCAGGGGCCCCGTATTCACAACATCGCGACGTCGAAACTCGAGGGGGGGAGGGAGGGGGGGCGGGGCCCCTCAGCTCGACATCTATACACCTACAACACCGACGCCCCGGACAGTGTTTCCAGACGTGGCAGGCCAATCATGACCTACACTCCTGCGAAAGGGGATGTCCACGACGGCATAGTGGAGCAAGCGACATCAATGAAGGGGAAAGGCGGGCAGATGGCGTTAGCGACGACAACGAACGGGACGACGACGGTGACGGGTGCAACGGCGACCCCGATGCACGACGACGGCGGCGACTCCCACGGCGACGGCGGCGGCGGCGTTACGGCGGCGTTACGGCGGCGGTTACGCCAGCGACGACGATTCACGCGGCGACGGCAGCAGCGGCGACGACGACGACGACGGTTGTCTGGAGGTCTTCCAGACAACCGGGCAGCTCCCCGCTTCGGGCCCGCCGCCCGCCCGCACGGCGGGCACAATGCGGGCGCGGCCCTGTGCAGAGTGCCAGGGCATGGCGCCACCCATGGGCTGCGCCGTGCGTGGCGCCATCCATGGTGTGCGCCACGGCCTGCGCACTCGGCTGCCGAACATCAAACGGCCTGGTGTGTCTGCTGCGCCACACACTGCGTGGTCGGATGCCGACAACAGGAACGGCCTGCCGTTGGCTGCACCAAACGGTGCGCACTCGGCTGCCAATGCTAGGCCTACCATTGGTTGTGCCGTGGGTTGCGTACTCGGCTGGCGAAACTGAGCCTGGCGAAGGACCCAACCATATGCAGCTGTGAGTAACGCAATAGTGAATGCTGTGATCGGTGGAACTTCTTATGAGGCCACGAAGTGTGTGAGGAATGTACCGAAGTGGGTGCGGTGAGCGCATGCCGACGCAGCCACTGGGATCTTCGGTGGAGTTCCCCTATGGGGCCACAAAGGTGTGGCGGACGCATGCGAACACCGACACTGGGGCCTTCGAGGGAGCGCCCTATGGGGCCGCGACGCGTGTAAGGGTGTACCGAAATGGGCGGGGCGGACGCGTGCGAACACCGCCACTGGAGCCTTCAGTGGCGTTCCCTATGAGGCAACGAAGAAATATGAATGGTGCGCCGAAAACGATGGGGGCGGACGCATGCAAACGCAGCCACCATTCCCGATTGGGCCACGAAACGTGCGAGGGGTGTGCCAAAATGGGCGGGGCGGGCGCATGCGAACACCTCCACTGGGGCCTTCGGTGGAGCTCACGATGGGGCCACGAAATGTGCGAGGGGAGTGCCGAACTGGATGCGGCGGGCGCATGCGAGCGCAACCACTGGGACCTTCGGTGGTGCTTCTTGTGGGGCCACGGAACGTGCGAGGGGTGTGCCGAAATGTAGGCGGGGCATGCATGCGCAGCCACTAAGGCCATCGGCGGTGCTCCTTGTGGGGCCACGAAACGTGCGAGGGGTGTGCCGACATGGGCGCGGCGGGCGCATGCGAGCGCAGCCACTGGGGCCTTCGGTGGAGCTCCCGATGCGGCCGCGAAGCGTGCGAGGGGTGGCCCGAAATGGGCGTGGCGGGCGCACGCGAGCGCAGCCTCTGGAGCCTTCGGTGAATCGTCCTATCGGCTGGCGCATGCGAGCGCAGCCACTGCGGCCTGCGGTGGAGTGCCCTATAATCGCCCCGCTCACAAGGTCAGCGCGAAGGCTCTCGATCGCGGCCTCGACCGCCTCACCGGAGGCGCTGATGCGGGCGCGATCTTTGAAGCGAAGGGGGCTGCGCCACCCCCAAAATGGGGGCTGCGGGCTCCTGGGCGGGCATGGCTTTGTTGCGCTGAAGCGCGAGGATCTGGTCACGGACCTCATCGGGGCCTATGGGTCTTCGAGCTGCATGTCTGGGAAGGAGGAGGAGAAGAAGGAGGAGGAGGAGAAGAAGAAGGAGGAGGAGGAGGAGGAGGAGGAGGAGGAGGAGGAAGGGGAGAGGGACCCTGAGACCATGGCGTCGCATGTTTGGTCACAGCGCAGTTCTTTCGCTCGGCTTCGGGCCCCGAGGCCATCACATATCGATCAGGCTTGAAACATGCAGCAGAAAAATTGGGCCTAGGTGGTGCTCCCTATGGGGCCACGAAGCGTATGAGGAGTGTGCCGGCATGGGCGCGGCGGGCGCATGCGAGCGCAGCCACTGGGGTCTCCGGTGGAGCTCCCTGTGGGGCCTCGAACCGTGGGAGGGGTGTGCCGAAATGGGCGTCGCGGGCGCATGCGAGCGCAGCCACTGAGGCCTGCGGCGGAGCTCCCTACGGGGCCCTGGCACGTGCGAGGAGTGTGCCGAAATGGGCGGGGCGGGCGCATGCGAGCGAAGCCACTCGGGCCTTCGGTGGAGCTCTCTATATGCGGCCACGAAACATGTGAGGGGTGTGCCGTAATGCGTGCTGCGGGCGCATGCGAGCGCAGCCGCTAGGGCCTTCGGCGGAGCTCCCTATGGAGCCACGAAAGTTGTGAGGGGTGTGCGGCCGTGGTTGACTGGTGCTGAGGGCAGAGGCAGGGATCGGCGGAGGGAGGAGGAGGAGCGGGAGGAGGAGGTGGGAGAGACGCGGGGCGCTGTCTCTTCAAAACGAAGACCCGACACTTTTGGCCCAACACTACAGGCTGGTTGGGAACAACACGGCTTGCTGTTGGTTTCGCCATGCAGTCCGCAACCGAACGTGATATTGGCTTGCTATGTGTTGCGCCATGGGTTGCGCACTCGGACGCCGATAAGACGTAAAACAGCCTGCTACTGGCTGCGCTATATATTGCGCACTCGGCAGCCGAAAAAAAAAGACGGGACGGTCTCACGTGCGCGATGTACAGCGCACTTGTTTGCTGAAAAACAATGGCCTGCTGTTGGTTGCGCCATGGGTTGGGCACTCGGCTGCCGAAAATAAGACGGCCTGGTATTGTTTGCGCCGGAGCTTGCGCACTTTGCCGAAGGCCAACGACCTGCTGCTGGTTTCGCCATATGCTGTGCACTCGCGTGCCGAACACACAACGGCCTGCTATTGGCTGCGCCATGGGTTGAACGACCGACTTTGGTAAATGAGACGTCCCGCTATTGATTGCGCCATGGGTTGTGCTCTCTGCCGAATATAAGCGGCCTGCTATTGTTTGCTCGATGGGTTGCGCGCCCTGCTGCCAACCATGAAGAAAACGGCTTAGTATTGCTTGCGCGGCATAAGTTGCCGACTCGGCAACCGAAAATCAAACGGCCTGCTAACGAGTGCGACCAGTTCAGTCAGTCAAGAAGTCAGCTGATATCGCGAAAAACGAGTTCGGGCTACGCCAACAGAAGACCAAAGATCGATCCTTGAACCTCGGAAGGCGACGGACGGCGGTGGCAACGACGACGACGACGGCGGCGACGACGACTGCGATACCAGGCCAGCAAGCATTCCGAAACCTGGGTCCTCGGACCTCGATCGAGGGTCGCGAGCGTCAGCGGCGACTGGCGGCGGTGGCGGCGGCTGCGAAGACTATGGCGGCGATGCTGGCGACGGCGACGGCGGCGGCGACTGTGACGCCGATCCCAGGCCCCAAGATTTTGACCGGGTGACCTCAGAGGTCTTCAGAGGCTCGAAGAGGCCCCCAGAGGCCCCAGAACGGAGCCAGCAGCATGCCCCCCGAGACGTCCTGGCGGGGTGGACCTCTTCGATCCCAGCGCGCCCCCCCTTCACTCCGGCCTCTCGGGCGGGGTGGAATCAAGACTCGCGCCTCGAGGCCCTAAACAGGCCCTCAGACCGTGGGGCCTGATTTAGGTCGGGCATGTCCTCCTACCCGCGGATGTCGGAAGAACTAGGACACTCAGTCAAGCAATGATCGAACATAGTCAAAGGAGCACGAAAAATCGTCACCAGACCATTTCTCACAAGTCAGGAACATTTTTCCTGCAGAGGGGCATGCCCGCCTTAAGGCTTGCTCGCCAGCGACGGCGGCGGGTGGGGGACGACGGGCAACAGGCTGGGCGGCACGGGGGCCCCGATGCGCCCCGAGGACGGCGGCGGCGGCGAAAAACGGTGCCGCCGCTCGGCCCGAGCGAACGGCGACGGCCACGCCGGCAAAGCCCGGCGGCGGCGGCGACGGACCCCAAGATCCGACGCTGCGGAACCACTCGTGGCGAAACACGAAGCACCACGACCAGAGCCCCGGAGCCCTGCTGCATAGGCCTCGAGCTTGACAGTGCTTTCCTCGCTTCCGCTCTGTCTTCGGTCTTCCTTCCTTCTGTCCTGGGCCCGCCCTGGCTGCGAAACGAAGCGAGAACGAAAACGGTCGCCAAAACACGGTTTGGCTCGACCGCATCGTCTGCCGCATGTTGACGAGCCAGATCGATCCGTGAGTAGAGGCCTCCTAGATGGGGTCCGAGTAGATGGTGTCGGAAGATCTCGCAGCATCGGCGAAGTCGGCGATGCATCGGCGACGTCGGCGTGGAGAAAATTTGGCCCCACATCGAGCCGCATCGCTGATGCATCGCTGATGTATCGGCGATGCGGCGCGATCCTCCGACCCCATCTACTCCGACCCCATATCTAGGAGGCCTAGAATGAGGGCCCCAGGGCCCGAAAGTGGGCGACATCGCCCGCTCTGAAGACCTGCGACGCCGGGATCCCTCCAGAGACGTCGGCGGCAGACGGCGGCGGCGGCGGCCGGCAGCAGCGGCGGCGACAGGCAGGGTATGACAAGCAGCCCGAGGGCATACAAACAAACAAAAACCGAGGGCGCAACAAGAAACACGAGGTGCTGCTACTTCATGCCCTCGGGTGCCTTGTGCCCTCGCTCTCTTGTTTTGCTTCTTGTGCCACCCTCGCTGTTTGTTCTCGAGCTTCTTCCCTTACCCTCGCGGCGGCGAGCGGCAGCGGCGGGCGGCGGCGGGCTGGGGCCGCGACCGGCCCGGCGCAGGGGCGGGGCCGCAGGGGGGGCCGCGCAGCGGGCGGCGGGGCCCCGAGCAGGAGATTTCCGCTGCGTGGGAGGACGAGGGGCAGGGCGAGGGGGAGGACGAGGGGGAGGACGAGGTCGGCGGTGGACAGACCTCCCTTTCGTAAACCGCCCTTTAGTTAAAACGGCCTAGGACCGAAACCGACGGACCTGGACCCGCAGAAATGACGGCCGCGACGCCCTCTCGCGAACCGAAGACGGCCAATTCGCTAATCGACGTGTCAGGGTAGGAGGTCTGTCCACCCCCGACGAGGAGGAAAGGACGAGTTTCACTGCCAGCCGAAAGCTAACGGGGGCGGGGTGGGGCTGGGCGGCATCCGGCACCTTTCCCTCCTCCACGCAGACCCCCGACGTGACGACTTCGTCCACAACGTCGACCCCCAGAGGCCTGGGCCACTTCCCCAGGATCGGCTTTTCCTTCCCAGCCGTCTTTTACCGGCCCCGAGGCCCAGTAAGGGCCCCCGCAAGCTGAAAACGGCCCAAATCCCCCCCCCCCGTCGTGATTGCGTTTCGTTCATTTTTCCCCCAAGACTCGATGGGACGCACATAGACATACTAATACTATCTGTCCTTCAGGGTTGCGCGCGTCTGACCCGAACCTCTAGCATACCCATCTTGTATCATGCCGTTTCCCGGGCGGTGTGGCCAGAAAGAGCCCGCCACGACGCATTACATTATCACACCAGAGAAAATACCCCAATCAATGGATGGTTTGATCGACAAGGAGATCGACCGGGAATCCGGGAACCCGGAACCCACCGAAATCGGCCAAGAACCAACCACCAGAACCTGGGAACCCAGGAACCCAGGAACCCGGGAACCCGGCCGGCCACCAACATCGACGGGACACCTTCGCCAAATCTATCCATTTCCGCTGGGACACCTTCGATGCAAACACTGATTGGGGAATGAGATTCCCAGACCCCCGACGTCGTGATTTTTTTACAACGTCGACCGCCGAAGGTCTGAACCTATTCCCTGGGACCGGTTTTTCATCCTGAGTCGTTTTTCGAAGGCCCCGAGGCCCGGTAAGGGCCCCCAGAGGCCGAAAGTAGAGAAAAACCTCTCGCCGTGATTTTGTTCACGACGCGAGGGGGTCTGGCTTCTCGGAGCGCGCGCGTCGTCCCTGGGGAGGGGGGTCGCCGACTCGAGGAGCTCTGGGTCTGGCGCTCGGGGCGGGCGCTGGCCGCGGCCCCGGCGGACATCGCTCGGACGTCCATTTCCTGTGTTTCTTTCGGTTTCGTGCGTGTTTTTTTCGCCAAGTGATCAAGGATGCTCCTCGATGGTCCTCCCCGAAGGAGAAATGCATACGTCCGAGCGCTGCCAGGCGACGAGGGGGGCCCTCGGCGAGCGCTCCGGGCCCTCGGAGGGGCCGAGGTCGCGGCGGGTGGCCCCATGCAGGCTGCACGGTTTCCCCCGGGGCCGTAGGCGGCCCGAGGAGGAGGAGGAGGAGGAGGAGGAGGAGGAGGAGGAGGAGGAGGAGGAGGAGGAGGAGGAGGAGGAGGAGGAGGAGGAGGAGGAGGAGGAGGAGAAGAAGGAAGTGGAGGAGGGGGGGGGAGGAGGAGGAGGAGAGAGGAGGAGGAGGAGGAGGAGGAAGAGGAGGAGGAGGGAGGAGGAGTAGGAGGAGGAGGAGGAGGAGGAGGAGGAGGAGGAGGAGGAGGGAGGAGGAAGGGTCGCCTAAGCCCTTCGGAGAAACCCTCCACCTCAGGCAAGCCTCGAATCGAGATGAATCCGCTCCAGGACGTTACGGATCGGGGATCTTCTGACTCAGACCCGGGTCAATGCAAACCCGGGTCAGTGAGGCCTTGCAGGATCCGGCAAGATCCTGCAGGATCCTGCGCCCAAGCCCAGGTCAATGCATCCCTGGCCCTGCAGGATCCTGCAAGATCTGGCGCCCTGGCTGACCCACTTTTGCATCGACCCTCTTGAGCTCCGAACGGAAAGCTCTCGAAGCGTTCCGGAACGCTCTGAGACGGCAGCGGCGCCCGATGAAGAACCTCCTGGATGGGGTCCGCGCAGATGGGGTCGGCGGATCTCGCCGCATCGCCGATACATCGGCGATGGACTGGCGGCTTCGGCGATGCATCGGCGACCTCGGCGTGCAGAAAATTGGGCCCCACATCGAGCCGCACCGCCGATGCATCGCCGATGCGGCACGTTCCTTCGACCCCGTCCACTCCGACCCCATCCAGCAGGCCTAGAGCCCAGGCCGATACATCTTCCAAGCCCGCCGATTCCCAGAGGGTCTCGACCCGGGGAAGCGGCGCGAGAGCGGGGAGGCCAGCGGCGGCCCCTCAGGGGCACGGCATCGGGCACTTGCCGTTCTGGTGCAGGACCTCCTCGGAGAGGGGCCAGGGGGGGCGAGCGAGAAGCGGGCGCCCACGGCAGCCGGGCTGCTCCTCCGTCGCCGCCGCCGCCGCCCTCTGCTCCCCCTCATGCCTCCCCTCCTCCCTCCTCCTCCTCCTCCTCCTCCCTCCTCCTCCTCCTCCTCCTCCTTCTCCTCCTCCTTCTGCTCCTACTTCTCCTGCTTATCCTTCCCTCCCTCCCGCCCTCCCCTCCCCTCCCGCCATCGCCGCCGCTGCAGTCGTCGTCGCAGCCGCCGTCGTTGCCGTTGCCGCAGTCGTCGTCGTCGTCGTCGCCGCCGCCGCCGCTGCCGTCGTCGTCGTCGTCGTCGTCGCCGCCGTCGTCGACGTCGCCGTCGCCATCGCCGCCGCCGCCGCCGCCGCCGCCGCCGCCGCCGCCGTCGTCGTCGTCGTCGTCGTCGTCGTCGTCGTCGTCGTCGTCGTCGTCGTCGTCGTCGTCGTCCGCTGGCGCCAAAGAGCGAGGATGGTGGCCGCCAGCTGCATGAGGGGCGGGGAGGAGCGGGAGGAGAAATCGGGGGGGCAAGCAAGACGGTCAGGGATGGGAAGGAAAGGAAAGCGCTGGGAGGGCACAGCAGGCGCACAAAGATAAGAAGCGTTGCTGTGAGGAATCCTGGGGCACATGTTTCGTCAACATTTGAGGGCCCCGATGCGCCCCACGACTCCTGTGGGTCCTTGATTGAGGCCATCGGGGGATAATGCATCCTTGGGGCACGTGGCACGTGCTGGCAAGCTGATCTCTTATTTGCCGTGCTTGCTGTACAGTGCGGGCGCGGCCACAAGAAACCCTCGCAAGAAACCCAGCCCTGAAAACCCACGCGCGAGGTGCACCTGAGGGGAAGCCTGGAGCACCCTGAACGCAGCAGCTTCTTCAGCGGCTGAGGAAATCACCGCACAGACAGTTTTTAATTTTCGAACCCGCGGGCCCTGCTCGGCCGTCCTGGGCGCCGTCGCCAGGCTGGGATGGACCGCTGAACGTTTCGACCGGTGGCTGACGGGGAGTGGGGTGGTTGTGGATTTGTCTGAGGTCCATCCCAGCACTCTTCGCAAGCTTGTCGATCTCGGCACAGAGCTAGCGCTTTTGAACAGCCTCTCTGGTTCTCAGGGGTGAGAGATGCTAGGAGGTGCCCCGCTCTTGGATCCAATCCGAAAGGCTCAGGCCCAGCTCCGCCGAGAAGGGCATAAGGCTGGGGCTCAGTTGTTGGCCACTCACGCCGCCAGGGGTCTCTGGACGCAGCAGAGGTTGTTCGAGGCTCGTTCGGTCACCTCGCCCCTCTGCCTTGTTTGCCAGGATGCTCCAGGGACCACTGGCCATCGCCTCTTTTGCTGTGCTTTTTCAAAATCGATCCGAGACGGGCTCGATCTTGACGATGCCACTTGCGAGGGGAGTCGATGCCAGATCAATGATCCTTTGTTGTACAGGTGCCTCGCCGAGTCGCTGCTGAGGCTGCAACCGCCACCATCGCAGCTCGGTGTGATCCGCAATGATGGGCCCCTGGAGGGAGGCGCCTTCTCAGGTCTCGTCGGCATCGACGGCTCGTGCTTTGATCCCGAATTTGCGCACGCCAGCCGTGCAGGGTGGGCATGCGCTGCCGTTGACAACCACGGTGAATCGAGAGGAGCGGTGTTCGGCACTCTCCCTACCGCCCTGCAGGAAATAGGTCTTGCGGAAATTTGGGTGATGTACATGTGCTTGCAGCATTCCGTCGGGGATCTTGTCATTGTCACCGACTGCAAGGCGGTCGCGGATGGCGTTGCTGCGGGCCCGGAGGTCGGCTGTAGAGTGACGCGCCCGTATTCAGAGACTTGGGTCCGTGTCTGGGATAAGATCCAAGACATCGGCCGTGAGAACATCCAGTTGGTCTGGGTTCCGTTTCACACGTCTTGGCGGGAGGCTCAGGCTCAGGGCGTTGTGTGGCGACATTTCAGGGCTAACAAATTAGCCGACACCTTTGCCAAGCGCGGGGCTCAAGGGCACCCCACGAGCCCCAAAGTCGTAGAGCAGAGGCCTCTCCTATGGTGGGCAGCGAGGTTCGTAGCCTACTATACGGGCCGCGTGCTATCCCACCTAGCGGCCGCTGGATTCCCTGACGTCGAACGTCCCCGGCTCCGGCGCGTCTTCGATCCGCTTGAATTCGTTTCGGACCCGAGGGGCCATCAGGTGAAGTTCAGAGCTGGCCGCTGGGGATGCCTTCATTGTGGGCGCAATTGCGCCACGCGTGCTAGGCTTTGTCGCTCCCTTTGCCCTGGCGTGCCTCCTCGGCTCGCTCAGGCCCATCATACTGATCGTCTGTGGTGGGCCGGGGGGTGGGAGGACGGGGTGACATGGTGTTCTGCCTGTGGAGGGTCTGCTCGGAGGCAGATTCTGTCGCTCCGCACGCGGTGCCTGGAGCACCCGACCTCAGGCACGAAGAATGCTTTGCTGCTCAAGAGAAGAATCGACCCTTCCACCCAGCGGCCCCTCCCAGCCAGGTCGATCCCTGTGATTCCGCCACTCGACGCTCGTCGAGTTCCTAAGGATGCGTCCTGGCCAAAATTTCGATGCGAATGCGGCCGTGGCGACGAAGACCTCCCAGGAGGCCCACACAAGTGAATTTTCATTTCGTTTCATTTCATACCGCAGTGGCGGGGTCCGGAGCGCCGCGCGCGGTCGCGCGCCGCCCCAGCGCCCCCCCGCGCGCGGCCCGCTCAGGTCGCAGCCGCCCCTGCGATCCCAGGGCAAGGGCCACGGGGCTGGCCCCGTCTCGGGTAGGGTCTTTCACCTCCGTCGTGGGTCAGCCCAGGAGCCGCAGCAGGCAACGGCGCACTGGCCCCGTGGCCCGCGCTACCCCTCCCTAGTGCGCACCTTGGAAAAGAACGAGGCGGCGCCCCTGCCCCCCCCCCGGCCGCAGACGGCTCGGGGACGGGCAACGGCAGGGAAGATACGCGAAGCAGCGGAGGGGGAGGGGGGGGCGGGAGGCACGATAGGGTGGCCAGGCAAGGGGGATGGAGCGGCTGCTGCCCCAGACGCGCGGTGCTGGGCGGCTGCACCGGGCCCCTCGGGCACGCAGACCGAGGCCCGTCCGTACGTCACGCGGCTTCCCTGTGGCAGAACGCGTCCGGGCCGATCGAATCGTGCAGGGCGCGCGCCACGAAGAGTACGTGGTGCCATCTCTGCTCGGGCGGCGGCCCGTCGCGGAAGAGCTGGTACAGGTACACGCCCGCCTGCGACAGCGGCGGGAGCAGGGCGCGGGTCTCCAACTCCGCGCGCCGCACAGTCTGCTCGGGGCACCCGCAGAGCGTATGGGCTATATCCACGTGCAAGGCGCCGCACGCAGCACAGCGGGCCAAGGTGACAGGGAGGCACGGCACGCCAAGCACAGGAAGGGGCCATGCCCCGGACGTGCGTGCCACGGCCCACATGCGGAACTCGCGCCACGTATGCGGTCTAAAGTCCAGACCGAGCATGCCCACGGGTAGCTGGTGGGGTTCAGGGACAAGAACGGCATAGGACACACCGAGCGCGGGCAGGCGGGCGCACGCGGCGCGCTGGAACGCCGCCAAGTCACGCGCCCTCAGGGCCGGGCGGACCACTTGGAGTTTAAAGTTGCACAGTACAAATCGGCGCAGCTCCAGCGAGCAGCGGGCGTTGCGCAGCGGGTGGCGGAAAGCGGGGTGAACGTCAATGTCCAGGATTGGCGGAGTCTGCTCCGCCATGCGGCACGCTACGACGCTCGCCCAGGCGGTGCACGAAAGGGAGCGCGCCAAGGAGAGCATGCGGGCGCCGGGGTGGTCCGCAGGCAGCGCCAGCAGGCGGGCGCGCGCCATGATCGCACGCTCGAGCATCCGCAAGGGCAACGGTACGGTCGGATTTAGGACAGAAGCGACTCCTTCAAGAACATGGGATCCTCCGCCGGCCAAACTGAAGAGCACTCGAGGAACCATTCCCAAGGTTGCACAATAATGCCCAACACGCACGAAAAACATTAGGGTACCCTCCCCGAGCCGACCTCGATCTTATGCCTCGGTCCGACCGTATGGGATGCCTCCACAACTCAACGTGCCCCTCAACCCGCACCTCGACACGCACCGTTGGGGGCGGCCTTCGCGCAGCATCGGCCTGCGACTATCCTGTGGTGTTCGGTCTTCGGTTTCAAGAGACAGCGCCCCGCGTTCGCTCCTTCCTCCTCCCCCTCGTCCCGCGGTGCCCACGTGCGTCCGCGCCGCGCCACCCGTGTCGGCACACCCTTCACAAACTTCGTGGCTGCGTCAGCGCCACCCATGTCAGCACACCCCTCACACGGTTCGTGGCCCCATGAGGAGCTCCACCGAAGGCCCCAATGGCGGTGCCCACTGCATGCGCCCGCGCCACCCATGTCGGCGCACCCCTCACAGATCTCGTGGCCCCATGATGAGCTCTACCGAAGGCCCCAATGGCGGCGCCCACATGCGCTCGCGCGTTCTCGTTGCCCCATAAAGGGGAGCTACACCGAAGGCCCGAATGGCGATGCTCACACACGTCCGCGCCACCCATGTCGGCACAACACTCACACGCTTCGTGGCCCCATAAAGAGCTCACTGAAGACCCCGATGGCAGGGAAGACATGCGTCCGCGACGCCCACTTCGGCTCACCCCTCACAGGCTTCGTGGCGCCAAAGGGAGCTCCACCGAAAGCCCTCGTGGCGGTGCCCACATGCGTCTGCGCCACCCATGTCGGCACACTCTTAACATGTTTCGTGGCCCCGTTCGGAGCTCCACCCAAAGCCCCAATGGCACTGCCCACGTGCGTCCGCGCCACCCATGCCGGCACACCCCTCACACGCGTCGTGGCCCCATAGGTAGCTCCACCGAAGGCCCCAATGGCGGTGCCCACATGCGTTTGCGCTACCCATGTCGGCGCACCCCTCACACGCTTCGTGGCCCCATAAGTAGCTCCACCGAAAGCCCCCAATGGCGGTGCCCACATGCGTTTGCGCTACCCATGTCGGCGCACCCCTCACACGATCCGTGCCCATAGGTAGTTCCACTGAAAGCCCCAATGGCGGTGCTCACATGCGCCCGCGCCACCCATTTCGGCACACCCCTCACAAGCTTCGTGGCCCCATAGGAAGCTCCACCGAAAGCCCCAATGGCGGTGCCCACATGCGTCCGCGACAAAAAATTCTGCACACCCCTCACACGCCTCGTGGTCCCATGGGAAGCTCAAACGAAGGCCCCAATGGCGGTGCCCACATGCGTCTGCGGCACCCATGTCAGCACACCCCTCACACGTTTCGTGGCCCCACAAGGAGCTCAACCGAAGGCCCCAATGGAAGCGTCGTCCCGCGCCGATTTCGGCATACCCGTCACACGTTTCGAAGCCCCATAACTAGGGAGCTCCACCGACGGCTCCAATGGCTGCGTCCACACGCGTCCGCGCCACCCATTTCGGCACAGCCCTCACAAACTTCGTGGCCCCAAAGGAATATTCCACCGAAGGCCCCAGTGGCTGCGCCCACATGCGTCCCGCGCCCACGTCGGCACACCCCTCACGCGGTTCGTGGCCCCATGGGGAGCCTCACCGAAAATCCCAATGGCTGCGTCCACATGTGTCCCGCGCCCATGTCAGCACACCCCTCGCACGGTTCATGACCCCATAGGGAGCCCCACCGAAGACCCCAATGGCTGCGTCCACGTGCGTCTCGCGCCCATGTCAGCACACACCTCGCACGCTTCGCGGCCCCATGAGGAGATCCGCCGAAGGCCCCAGTGGCTGCATCCGAACGCGTCCCGTGCCACAAATTTCGGCGCGCCCCTCGCACGTTTCGTGGCCCCATACGCGGCTCCACCGAAGGCAGCTCATATGACGGCAGTTTGCACAGGTGCACACGGTTGGGTCCTTTGCCAGGATAATTGTTTTGCTCTTGCGCTGCATGGACCCGCGACGATATCATTCTCGTCGGAAGCTCGACCAGAACCCTTCCATCGCAGTGAACGCCCACTAGGTTCTGCCCCTGCTCCGACACGGTAAATATTGCAAGATCGGCCGGTTACAACCCTGGCCCAGGCCAGAAATAAAAAAGCACCGGCCACAGTGGGGTTGAAGAGAAAATGGACAAGAGAAAAGGAGGAGAAGCACGGCGGAGAAGGAAGAGAACCCCCCGCAGGGCGTGGGTGCAGAGGGAGGGAGGGAAGGAGGGAGGGAAGGAGGGAGGGAGGAGGAGGAGGAGGAGTGAACGTACTCATGAGGAGGAGAAGGAAAAGGAGGAGGAGGAGGAGGAGGAGCGACCCGCGTTCGGGGGGGGGGGGGAGAAAGAGGTCCCAGTCCACCGCTGCCGATAGAGCGAGCACGCGCGCGAGTCGCTGCTGGGCCGCCCGGCACTGGCCCCGCTCTGGCCAGACCTGCCGCTACCTTCGATCGGCGGGCCTGGGCTCTGACACGTGCACGAAAGAGGCCCACGGATCGGATGGGGGAGGGGGGGGAGCCCGATGAGCGAAGGGACTGAAACGTAGAGTGCAGACAGCCAATGGCCAGGCAGGCGGAAAGAAAGGCTTCGAGATTATGGGGGAGGAGGTGGGGGGGAGAAAAGACGCGTAGGGGTCTTGGCCGTGCTCTTATGGAAGAAGACGGTAGCTGTTTCGCAAACCGCCAACAGCAATCGGGCAAGTCATATAGTGGAATGTCCCATCGCCTCCCATCGCTTGGCACCCATAGCTGCACCCCACAGCTCCGCATCGGTGCCGTCTGGTCGAATTCCACGCGTTGGCGAAACTCTTATGACAGACTGAGGCAACACAACCAGGAAGGTGGGCACCGAGGGTATGTCGTCTCACGAATGCTCGATCAGCATACTCGACAGGGCAGCTATGCAACCATTAGCCGCAACAGCATCAGGTTGTGGATGTATATGATAAATCTGTTCATGTGCGTTTTTCATATGCATGAATATGAACTGTTGTGACATTATATCAGACCCCCAGGTAATGCAGCACTCATACGGTTCAGCACATTGATCCACGAGCCTCGAATAAAATAGGTAGCACGAGCTCCTCGTGACGGCCCTGATCATACACACACGGCCGAAGATATCCAATCTTCTGGCCTCCACCTGGTGCCCCAGAAAGTTGAGGTTGATGAAGGACATGGGTGGGAACCGACGGCTCGGAGAACAGGTGAGGAGGTGGAGGCCATCTTTTGCCACGCCTCGGGCATGCTTTGGAGGCTGGTGCATTTGGGCTACAGGGGACATCATAGGGAGCCCATAGATCTCGTATGCAACAATACTACTCGAGAGACCTGCCCCCATCGCTTTGATCCTCAGGCACCCCTTTTTCAATTTGGCCCCACACAGGGGCTCACGATGTTTTGGCCGCGTCGATCCCAACCCCAGCGCCAATAGACCACCCACATGCGGAAATCTCGAACCGCCTTACCTTCATACCCGCCCCAGAACAAACGACTTACTGCACGGGTACACGTGTGCGCATCAGGGAGCCCGAGCTGGCACTTCCCGAAGATCCAGAAGCAGTCCTGTACCGCCCCCACTCGGCACCAGAAACTTACAGATGCGCGGGAGCGCACTGACAAGATCCGCGGCCGTCGTGGACAGGTCGCTCGTTAAAAAACACATAACGTTAAATGCAACGGCAGCTCGAAGCGAAACCTCCTGCAGTCTTCGAACTGCAGGGTCGAAGCAGAGGCTGAACAGCAGACCGCTAGGAGGACACCGTTGCTTAAGGCCACGACAGAACTGGATAGGAAAGAGGTCAATGTTTGAAATGCACCACCAACATACTATTTCCATACAGGACCATGATACGATGAATAATACTCTCAGGAATCCCAGATGCACCGATACTTTCCATTATATAACAATGGCTAATACTGGGGAAGGCAGCCTTGAGGTCGGACAGAGCCGAACCTGCACTTCTACAGTCACCTATCGAGTGCGAAATCATCAAGTTGGCATCAACCTCAATAATGTTGTCGATCATCTGCCTACCTCTTGTTTCTTTTTTCGTATGTATATATATATATATAAAACACCTGTTTGGGCCCCCTGGTCACGGTCGTCGTAGGAGGAGGAGGAGGAGGAGGAGGAAACCACAATAGAGAGGATCGATCTCCCGCTGGTGCCACCCGAAGGGAGCGTCCTGGAACTCGCGGACGCTGGAGTCGACGGTGAGGCCCGGGTACCAGTCCGGGTGGCCGGGGAGTCCGACGGTGCGCGCCCAGTGCACCTCGGGCCGCACGCCAGAACGGCCCAGTGCCAGGTTCGGGCAATCATCAAAGCGTTGTTCCCCAAAGAGGGCTTGCACTTGGGTTTTCTTTTGCTGATGTCGCCAAGGAATTGGATGGGTCAGGCGAGGATTTACCAAGCTGCCGCCCGTGGCCGCCTCCTGCGATGAGTGGGTCCTGCGGGGTCTCGCCACGTTGCCGCGCTTGGTGGGTCCAGAAAGGTTTGCCCCCGCAGTGGATTAACACAATGTTTGGCGGCATGTCTGAACTGCCGACCTGGTTCTGAAACCGCTTTCGATTCAAAATGTGCGAACGTGTGTACACGTGCATACTTACATCCAACGCTATGTATGTGTATATATATATATATAGATATGTGTATATATGTTTACATATAAATATATACACATACCTACATACATGAACACTTTGCAATTCAGGGTTCTTGCTTGTCTTACGTAAGGAGCTGGATGGATATGCCCAGGATTCGGCTGGTGCCCAGTTGGTGGGCGCCCGTGGGCGCTCCGTGGGCGCTCTGCGCTTGGGATGTCTGCCGGGGTTTCGGCTGGTGCCCGCCCGTGGGCGCTTCTCTGGGCGCCCCGCGGTGGGGCCATGTCGGGGTTTGGGCTGGTGCCCGCCCGTGGCGCTGGGGGACGTCTGCCTGGGTTTCGCCATGTGCCCGCCCATGAGCACCTCGTGGGCGCCCCGTGCTGCACGGGTGTGCAAAGATTTCGCGGGATGCCCGCCCGTGGGCGCCTCGTGGGCGCCCCGATAGCTTGCAGCACGCAGGCTGCTTGTCAAAGAAAAATGAATTCAATCGCCGTCCATATAGCCTGGACTGAACCGTACCCTTCCGTTCCCATTGCGAATTGCACTCGACGCTTCCTGATCAATTTTTCATACCTTGTCATATCATCCCAAGAAGACTGGTATCGACCCACCCCTTTTCACCCAGGAAGAAAAATCCCGTGCGCACATGCGGTTGCAACAACATGTTTCGGTTCACACGCGCGCGCACGGCGAAAACATCCAAACACACATTGGTTATGCCAGTGTTTCAACAAGAAACTGGTTCCAAAAACGATGTTGGCTTTCACCGACGAGAGGGCAACATTTTTGTTTGCGCTCAACCGCAAAACGCATGATTGTTGCAATCTCGCCCGACACAGTGATTCTGAACATGGATTCAACACGTGCTTTTCAATTACTCGATATGCCATCGGCGTTGTGCAACATATGTTGTGCAACCTACGTGGCGTAAAAGATATGATGCGCTCTACGTAATGCAATTCATGTGGGGGGTGTACGTTGTGCAATATATGTGGTGCAATATATGTTGTGCAATTCACCTGCGGAACTCGCAATTGCCGACTCCACTGCTAACGCAACCATCCCACCCACCCACCCGCAACTTGTTTTGCAAAAAACATGCGGCGGCGATTGCGATGAATGCTTGGTGTTGGCTGGTGCATCTCTGCGGCCGCGCTAGCCCGCGCATGCTCGCGCGCGCAACAGCCAACTAGCTTGGCGCGATCGACGCGGCCGCGGTGGCGCTGACCTCTGGGCATTGCCCAACGGACATGTCAGTGCGAGTCGGTGACTTGGGCGGGCGCGGTATCATGACAACGTCGATAACAATAGACACGATGACGAGAATAACGACGCTGGTGGCGATGATGACAACGGCAACGGCGCGGCCAATTACGGCACCGATGCTGATCACGCTGGCGACGATGACGGCGTCCTCGCGTCGGTGATGAAGGTTTTGGAAAAAGTTCGACATGCGCGCGCGGCCGACACGCGAAAGTGGCCCGCATGGTATCATTTGACACTGATCGTGCCCCCCAGCACGCGCGTAAAGGCGTTCGAATGATGCCGACATGCGGCGCGAAAGGCCCGTTTGGCAGAATTTCCCGAAAATTGTGAAACACAGACGGTTTTCTTGAGATTTCGCAAGGGCGCGATTTTTATAAAAAAGAAAAGATGTTGCAACACCGTGTGTTTTGTTTTATGTATTCGGGGCACTCGATATTGAAATCCTTACGAAACCTGAGTGTTTGACAGCTTCCGGCATGCGCGCGCGACGACGCGCGCGCATTCACGCCGTCCCATTTGGTGCAAGGGGTTCTTGCGACAGCACGCACGCAAGGGCTTTCGAACGATATCGGCACGCGCGCGCGAGAGGCCCATTTGGTAGCTTGGCATGAACATGTTGAGACACCAATGGTTTCTTAAGAATTCGCAAGAGCGTCAGCGCAAATTTTGCTTGAAAGTTCTTGTTGGGAAGCCCTGATTGTTGTATATGTTTTCGGGGCACTCGATTTCTTTCGGCATGTGAACACTTTCGGCATGCGCGCGCGACGTCCAGCGCGTGTGCAACTCGTCCCGTTTGTTGCAAATGATATTTGAAACTCGTACTTTTTGATGAACGAATGCGCGCGCATAACATTTTGTACAAAGGATGAGGCGGGGCCGCTGACGGCCTGGCTTGGATGGTCTGAATTCATAGCTAGGGTGGAATTTAAGCCATAAACGTAAGTAAATTGCAATACAAAATGGGGGGCGGTTGATTTCGGGGAGGGGGAGATTCCAATATCCCTTTAGAAAGGAGAATCTTTGTGTAACAACCTATGTGGTGAAATTCATTTCTGTTCGCGATGAGTTGTCCGCTCCACTGCTGGCGCAAACATCCCACCCACCCACCCGCAACTTGGTTTGCAAAATCTCTTAAGACCGTGACGGTGGGTACCACATGGCACTTGGCAACAACAGCGACGCCGACGACGACAGCGACAACGACGATGACGACAACGACTACGACGACACCGACGACGTCTCCAACGACTTCGACGACGCCGACAACGACGACGACGACGACGCCGACGACGACGACGACACAGACGCCGACGACGACGATGACAACGACGACGACGATGACGACGCCGACGACGACGATAACGACGACACCGACGACGACGACGACGTCAACGACGCCGACGACGACGACGACGCCGACGACGACGACGGCGGCGACGACGACGACGCCGACGTCGACGACGACGAAGACGACAACGACGCCGACGCCGACGCCGACGACGAAGACGACGCACCGACGACGACGACGACGTCAACGACGCCGACGACGACGACGCCGACGACGACGACGGCGGCGACGACGACGACGCCGATGTCGACGAAGACGACGACGCCGACGCCGACGACGAAGACGACGACGACGTCGCCAACGAAGACAACGAGGAAGGAGGGAGGACGACGACGGCGACAACGACGACAACGACGAGGGAGGAGGGAGGACGGCGACGACGCGAACAACGAAGAAGGAGGAAGGACGGCGACGCCGACGACGACAACGACGAGGGAGGAGGGAAGACGACGACGACGACAAAGACGAGGACGACGACGACGACGACGGCGACGAAATAGGAGGGATGACGACAAGACGCCGACGACGGACGACGACGACGACGAGGGAGGAGGAAGAAGGACGACCACGGTGACAACGACGACGGAAACGACCACGACGCCAAAGAGGACGACGACGACGAACACGAGGAAAGACAGAGGACGACGCAGGCGACGACGACGACGACGCGGGAGGAGGGAGGACGGCGACGACGACGACGACGACGACGCAAAAACGCGCGCGCACGCTTTTGTTGAAAATCCGTGTTGCGAGACCTTGGGTTTTTGTTGTTTTTTTGGACGCGCGATTTCGAAATCCTTCCGAAACCGATGGGTTTTGAGAGATTTCGGCGTACGCGCGCGACGACGCGCGCGTCTGCACTTCGTCCTTTGTTTTGCAAAGGAATTTTGCGACGGCGCACGCGCAAGGGCGTTCGACATGCGCGCCGCGACGCCCGTTTGGTAGCATTTTGTGAAAATCTTGAGAAACCCATGGTTTTCTTCAGATTTCGCAAGAGCTCGCGCGGAAGCTGTTTTAGCACATCAGTGGTGCGATACCTTATGTTTTTGTATATATTTTTTTGAAGCTCGATTGCGAAATCCCTCCGGCACCGAAGGTTTTTGAATGATTTCGGCATGCGCGCGCGACGACGCGCGCGTGCGCACTTCGTCCTGTTTTTTTGCAAGGGATTCGCGAACAAGTGCTATGTTAGAACAACAAATGTCACCGCAGTGTTTTTTTTTTTTTTTTTTTTTTTTTTTTTTTTTCAAAGGAACCTCAGGGGGGGATACCGGTTTGGCTGGGATGATCTGATTTCATATTTCGAATGGACGAGTGTGCAGAATATATATATATATATATATATATATATGAAATTGTACTATCCCAAGGGGAAGCGTTCAGTCCGGGGGGGGGGGCAGAGTCTATTTTTAGAAATGAGAATCTGTGTGGCGCAATTCGCTTGAACAACTTGAAGTTGCCAACCCCACTGCTCGCGCAATCATCCCGCCAACCCACCTGCAACTTGGTTTACAAAAGAAAAACCGCGGGAGCGATTCCGATGACTGCTGGGCGTTGACTGGTGAACCCCGGTGGCCGCGACAACCCGCTCATGCTCGCGCGCGCGGCAGCCAACTACTCTGGCGCGACCGACGCGGCCGCGGTGGCGCTGACCGCTCAGCTCATCCAGCCGGGGACTTCAGTGCGAGTCGGCGACTTGGGCGGGCGCGGTATCATGGCAACGTCGACGACGGTAGACACGATGATGGTAGTAGCGATGCTGGCGACGATGCTGACAGCGACGACGGGGCAGCCAGTGACGGCGCCGATGCTGATCACGCCGACGACGATGACGGCGTCTTCGCGTCGGTGATTCAGGTTTTGGAAGGAATTCGAAATTCGCGCGCGGCCGACGCGCGAGAGTGGCTCACATGGTACTATTTGAAACGGATCGTGCCACCCCAGCAAACGCGGAAAGGCATTTCGAACGATTTCGGCACACGCGCGCGCGAAGCCCGTTTGGTTGCATTTTATGAACATGTGGAAACCTTACCGGTTCTCTGTAGAATTCGCAAAACC